TTCTCAGGTCCCTTCCGACACTAGAAACTATGAAACTATGTGCACATACAACACCTCAGCTTTCCCTTGCCCCATTCATCAGTAAGTACCTACAGAGCCCCAGCATCAGGGGCAAAGGAGCATTATACAGCTGCAGGGCACTCTGCTGTTCCAGATGTGTGCGGACATTTCCCTCTCCACCAGCCAAATGTCTTCCCCTATGCTTACCCCGCTCTGGCTGCAGCTTCTGGCTTCTTGCTCTGTGCTGGAGAATCACCATGCTCCCCAAGCATGTGAGGAAGGGTGGGTCGAGCCCTGGGAGCTGGGCTGAATGAGATCAGGGTATTATCTGTCCCTGAGCTGAGCCACAATTCTCTCCCCTCTGCCCCGTGTTCAGGCCTGGAAGGACCCACAGGAGAAAGGAGCCATTAGTTGGCTCCTTGCAAGCGTCCTTTGTGTCTGCGAGTGCTGCTCTGAGGATCTGGGGGTTGGGGTGTGGGGTCCTTGACACTCAGAGGTGCCAAGAGATCCATCTGTTGGGCCCTTGGCTGTAGGGAAAGCCGAGGGAGCTCATGGGTGGTGTGCTTCTCCTGTGGAACAGGGGCTGTGCTGCCCCCACCTGATGTGTCCCTTGCTCCTCTGACCCCCTGGGAAGGCTGAATCGCTTCAACAAGAAGTACGTGAAGAAGTGCCTGATCGCGGGCGAGCGCTCCAAGGAGCCCCAGCTCATCGCCTTCTACCATAAGATGGAGATGAAGCAGGCCATCGAGCTGGTGGAGAGCGGTGGCATAGGCAAGATCCCCTCAGCGGTCTCCACAGTCTCCATGCAGTGAGTACTGCCCTGCCCAGCACAGTCTGCAGGCAGGGATCTTACAGAGGTGACTCCTGGCACCGCGGCCTAAGCCTCTTCCCTCACTACCGTGGTGCCCGGTGCTCAGACTTGCTGCCTCTTCCTCTTGCAGAAACATCCATCCCAAGACCTTGCCTGTGGAGCGTATCCTCCCGGCCCTGTCCAAGGACAAGGAGGAGGAGATCAGGAAGATCCTGCGTAACAACCTGCAGAAGACCAGGCAGAGGGTGAGGACTCTGGCCTCCCCTGGCCCCTGCTCATGGCTCAGGAGGAAGCCTGGAACGTGTTCGCTCCCTGCCCCACTTCCATGTTCCCAGTGCCTCCTGCCTCCATTAGTCCCAGCTCTGCTCTTCGGCCTGCCCCCGCCAGGTCTAAGCAGCCCAAGGGTCTGGCAGCTGGGCTAATGGCCACACTGGCACAGAGACAAGAGCAAGACTGTGCCACTGCTGGAGTGAGGCTCGGAGTCTGCTCCCAGCTGTGCTATGGGCTCCCTATATCTCTTTGGGCTAGTCTCTCCTGTCTGCACTATGAGGGAGAACAGCCTTCCTTTGCTGCGCTGTAAGCTCTGGAGGGCAGGAGCTGCATAGGACAGCGTAGACCTGGTCTCTGTGGAGGCCTCTGGGAGCAGTCGTCCTCCTGCTGAGGTGCTGAGGGGTGGAGAAGGGGGCTGCTGAGCGGGGCTTTGCTATAGAAGCCAGATACAAAGGTGGGCTGCAAGGAAACCCTAAGGGAGCCGGGCACACACCTGGTGACACATAGGCTTGTTCTCTGAGCTCAGCCACAAACTCCTGAAGGCCCCTCCTGGCTGTCCCCTGAACATGCGGCCATGTCCCAGCAGCTGGCACTGTCCCTACTTGGGCCCTTCACCCTCACCCCCTTCCCTGGAGCTCTGTCTGTGGGACCTGGCAGATTGTGGCTCTGCTTCACCTTCTTACCCTGTCTGCTGTCCTGGGCTCTTCACAGCTGCGATCCTACAACCGGCACACACTGGTGGCCGACCCCTACGAGGAAGCCTGGAACCAGATGCTGCTGCGAAGGCAGAAAGTCCGGCAGCTGGAGAAGAAGGTGCGTGGGGACGGGGAGAGATGGACTGGCACTGGCGGCTGGGACAGAGGCTGGTGGGGGCAGCAGGACACATTTTGTGCTGAGACTCATGCCCACTGAAGGGGATCTGACAAGCTGGAGCCAGCAGCAGTGGGTCCTGGTGCTCTGGGTATTCTGGTGCTGCATGACAGGGGAGGCAGGCTCTCCTTTCAGAGGACAGGTAGGTTTGGGATGGTTGCCTGCCACACCCTGGGGAAGCCCTCAGCAAGCTGCCACCCACAGAAGCCTCTCTGAGGAGCATCCTTGATTCCCCTGACCCCTTCCAGACGCCCGTAGGGCATTGCCCCATCCCCTGGGCCTCAGCACACTGGAGTTCACACCCCAGCACTGCCTCTTTTCTTCTTCCAGATGAACAATTACCTGACAGTCCCGGCTCACAAGGTCGATTCGCCCACTATGTCCAGGGCTCGCATTGGCTCAGGTACGTGCGGGCCAGGTGGCGTGGGAAACGGGCATCTTTTGGGGTATCCTCACCCCTTGGTGGTGGAGCTGTGGGGTCCCACATGTGGCCACCAGGGGGCAGCACCTCCACACAACACAGCCTGGTGCTGCTGCCTGCATGCACCAGCTGCCTGGGCTGAGCTGGGCCTGACTGGGAGGGGGGTTGTCTCCCCCACCCCCAGATACGTAGGGCCACTTCATAGAGGAGAAAGGCTGGAAGGGGCCTCGAGATAATCTAATCCAGCTGGGGATCGAACCTGCAACCTTGGCTCAAGCTCTTGCTGATTTCTCTTGTCCAGCTCCTCAGAAATCCAGCCCCCAGGCTGTAGCTGAGCCTGCTGCTGCAGCTCAGGTTGCCCCCAAGGGCAGGAAAGAGTGCTGGGGTCAGATGACCCCAGCCAGATGCCTATCCAGCCTTTTCTTAAAGACCCCCAAGGCAGGGAGAGCACCACTTCCCGTGGAAGCCCGTTCCAAATTTTGGCCACCCTTACCGTGAAGAAGTTTTGCCTGCAAGCAAATTGTCCTGGCATGGGTGTGAAGTTGTGAGCATGAAAATGTGAGCACCAAGTGCCTCTCAGACCTGCCACAGGATCCTTTCAAGGGTGCTGCAGGGTGATGTCAGGTGTGCAGACACCAACACGTGATTCACAAGATCATCCCAGTCATTTCAAGCAGGAATCCCAAGGGTCACCGACACACTGCCCTGTCGTGGGCTCGCTGTGCTCTTTGCAACAGAAGAACTGCTCCAGTCTCTTTTCCATAGTCAAAAAATGAGCGCCAGCAGAGAGCTGGCATTTTCCGAGGGGGACCTGGAGTCCGACATGGGGAACCTTGAGCCTATAAAGGGTTGAGAAGCACTGGGCAGGGGTATATTGTCTTCTAGAGCTGGGAGGAGAGCCCAAGACTCCTGACACCCTTTTCCATAATTTCCTCCTGTAGCCACTAGACCCCATCATCACCCTTCAGGTCACTTCCCTGTTCATGTGTGGGTGGAAACCCCCCAGCTCCCCAGGGCACTCTGTGAGCAGAGCCCCTGGGCATAGCTCCACGCTGTGCTGAGGCAGCTGTCTGTGCCTGTCCCTGCAGACCCACTGGCCTACGAGCCCAAGCCAGACTCAGAGAACCTCCCCATCATCACCATCGACCCTGCATCGCCCCAGTCCCCGGAGTCAGTCGACCTGGTGAATGAGGAGATGAAGGGCACGAGCCGCCTGCCGCCATCACCCGAGGAGGATGAGGAGGGGCTTGTGATGCGGGTCAAGGAGCCGTCCTCCCCGGGCACGGACGATGTCTTCACCCCGGGGCCCAGCGACAGCCCCAGCAACCAGCGGATGCTGCGGTGCCTGAGCGACCCCGGGCCTCGGCCGGAGCCGGAGGAAGGGGAGCCCTTCATCCCCAAGGGGCAATAGCAGTGGGCATGCAGCCGGCTCCGGCCTGGAGGGGTGCCGTTGCATACGTGTGGATTGTCTCTTTCCCCGGGTTCCCCTGCCCCTGGGTGCTGGGTTTCAGGCTGGAGGGGGGCACTGTGGACAAGGAGGAAGAGGAGACCCCCGTGGGAGGGGGCCCCTCCATTGTAGTTTGGTTCTACAGCTTCCCTGGGCTGCGTCCTGAGCTGCAGGAGCCTGCGTAGTCTGCAGGCACCTCCTGCCCGAGGGCAGCTCCGTGTCTGTTCACCCTGCCTCAGCTGCAGCCCCAGCCCTCGCCAACTCAGGACCTGCGGTGGCAGCGCGTGTGCTTGGGGCACCCCCTCACGGCGCTGGCGGACAGGAAGACGGGCTCTGGCCTGGTCCCTCGCAGCGCCCTCTGCTCCCAGCACAGTGCAGCTTCTCCTCCGCCAAGCTTTGCTCTTCCCCACCACAAGCTACAGCATCCCTGCTCTCTGTCTGGCCACCGAGGCTGGCGTTGCCCCCAGCACAGGGACTGAAACCCCGCAACAAGGTTCGCCAG